CAGGGTTTTGGAAAGTTGAAAAATACATTTCCTTGTTCAGAATTCGATGCTCTTTCGAATGAGATAGGTCTCCATCAATGCGACAAACTTTTCTGTAAACGTGGTTTTTTACCGATGGAAAACACCAACTGTAGGCTGATCAAGGAGAATCTTTTAGTAATAAAATAGATAAATCTGAGATAACTCAATGGAGAACAAGTTTGAAAAGTTAAAACTTGGAACGGATAGATGATGAATTATAACTGCAGCATCTGGAAGCGTTTCCGCTACTCTCGAAAGAACATGTATTTTAGAAAACCAAAAGGCTATCTCGTTCTGTCCACAAAACTGCTTTCGTTCTGTATAAGATGCAGAAAACTAAAATCCCGACTACTGCTACACGTTACTCTAGGAAAGCGAAAGGTTTTTCATTTAAATACGAGTATTTTACCTTTGAAAATATCCTCAGAAGATATTTTAGTTCCATTGGGATACCAAAAAGGATTCAGCAGGTTAAGTGATGGGTATCTCACAGTATGAAACGGTTTGAATGTTCATATTGATCCGGTATGGATCAATATGAAATATCAAAATTGTTTTTCCAGAATGCCAAATTCGTTTTATTTATGGTATTTTCATTCGTTAAAAAGCCTACTGATTCTGTAAGAAACGGATATAGTTTACAGAATACCCGAAGAGTATTCTGAAATACTGAAAAGCGTTTTACAGGATCTTAAATGTTTTTTTCTGATTTTAAAAAACCTATTTTGGTTTTTAAAATACTGACTCTGTAGTATTATGTTCAACCCTGTCTTTTGACGCTTATTTCGTCACCAAATGAGTTTTCAGCTATGAGTTAACCAAATATGCTGTATTCGCAAACTTTTGGTAAATTTTTATCGTATTCGCTTGTCCTTCGGTCTAGTTTTCGTAGAGCCCCATTACAGGTGCTTTCTCGTTTTGAGAACTTCTGAAATAGCTAGCTGCCCAAAGGTCTAGTATTTTCTAATTCTCCCTGAACATTGAGGAATGATTAAATTACGCTAAAAATTTTAAGATGTCCTACGCATTTAAAATCGAAGACGAAACCGTTTCTTTGAAACGAACTTAAGAAGCAGTTTGAGTAATGTCCCACCCTATCTTTCCCGAAAGTGTTTCTTAAGGAATGGAAAAATATGATATTCGGTCAGAGCACAATTTTTTACCTATCTGAGATGAAAGCAGGATACCTGGAATGCTTTTTCTTCGATTCAACTCCAAAAATACTTTAAAATTTTGTTTTAAAACTTATACTCATCTCAGTTAATCCCTAAACGAGAAAATACAGTAAAAACGATGTAATCAGATTAGCCGAGTGGTTTATGTGTTAGTTTAGTAAGTCTGACTTGTAATTTTTTTTAAAAAAGTTTTTGAATAAATATTTCATAAGTTATGGCTCCTCCCCTTACCGGGTCAGTCGATTTTCGTCTCAAATATTCACTTTGAGACAAGCACATGGTTGGATAGCCCACAGTGTCTACTTTCTAATGACGCAATTTTTGTGTCGATAGGATAGCTTCTTCATAGGTTTGGAGCGAGTTTTCCAGAAGCCCCAGAGCAAAAAAAATGACTTTTTTTCACTTGTATTGCACAAGCGCAGGCATGTGTCACACATGTTCATTAGATCTGCTATGCCGATAACCTATAGCAAAATATCAACAAATTATTTAACGCTTAAAGAGTTTTTAAGAAAAACGTATTTAACAGACTCCAAACTTATTTTGCGCTTTTCTTACAACTGCTTTTTAGCTTCAAGGCTTTCGTCACGCACAGGAATTCTTGGTAACGATACATCGGAGAAAGAAATTTTTTTTGATTTGTAGATAGCACCTATAGCTACGAGTTGACAGAGTCCGATTTTTAAATTATGCTTCCATTTTTTATAGAAATGAGGATTTTGAAGAGACCTTCCAAGATTTTTCGGACTTTAAAATTCTATTAAGCATGAGAAATCAGCAAATGAAAAATTCAAAAATCGGGCTCTGTCAACTCCTTGTCATAAATGTTTACTGAAAAACACAACCAGCTCTCTATCATTCCTAGTGCTACTATACCTGGAATGAAAATCCTTGCAAGTGGTAGACGCCTAATTTTGGCCCTTGTTGTGGCGCCCTTCCACGAACAGTTACAAGTAACACTGAAAAAAAAATTTCGTCACCGCAGTTTGACATGATCAACATTCCCTGAAAGTTTGGTTCAGATCAGCTGAGATAGGTTTCTGACTCGGGGGTGAGGGTCCTTAATCTATTTTTTTTTAATATCGCATCATAATATAGTTAAATTCGTTCAAAAGTCACTTTCTTCACAATTTCTAAATATATATCATCTCTATATTGCTAAATCTGCTTCTGAACAGATTTTCTGAAAATATTATTATTTTCATGTATCGTTGTACAATAGATTGAAATTAAATTCTTCTATAAAATTTTTCTTTGTGATGATAATAATGATAATGGAAATAAATTAGTTTAATGAGATGTATTAGTTTGATTATACCACTAATCGTTTTATGTTCCAAGAGAAAATGCAATGAGATTTAGTTTAAATATTATTATTAAATTTTTTTAGATTTTATTCAAAAATATGTCGTGTTTCGTTCGATTTCAGCTATTCCGAGATCGAATAAAAACCTCTTTGATTTCATTTAATATTTATGATAAATATCCATCAGAAAATCAACATGTTATTGCTAATGAACGAATTGCGACACGAATTTATGTAATTTTAATGACACTTGCTTTACTAGTAATTATTTTATTTACGTCGTTCACACATAGAACAGTAATTAAACAAAAAAATAAACCAAATCAGTTAGAATTTGATAAACTATATGCAAAGTATTCACATAAATTAGTTTGTCCATGTTCTCAAATATCGATTCTCTATGACACCTTCATAATGTTTGAGCCAGAATTGCATACAATATGTTCTAGTGATTTTATTTCGATTAATTGGATTAGTTATCTTGCTTCTACCAATGAAACATATTATAATCATGCAGATTTTCGAATATTAGGACAAGCTCAATTTAACGCACTTTTAGCCTTTTGTCAACTAGCAAATCAAACAATCAGTGATGCTATGAACACATTCCTTTCAACCAATTTCATTTCATCTGGAGTAATCAAATTAGAATTATTTCAGTCTGAAGTTGAGTTTTTGTTAAAATCGTTTAAATCTTCAACTATCAATTCATTTCAACGTTCATTCGATCTCATACGTTTGACAACTCAAGGAAATCAATTACTTTCAGCTTTAAAGACAAATTATATCCCAATAATTGACACATATAATGTGAATAGTTCAATAATAGGTTTTGAATCAAATATTTATTTCGATCTATCTAATTCTTCGTGCAGTTGCTCAGATTCGCCAATGTGTATCGAACCCGTATGGATTTTTTCTTATAATGAGACTACTCAAACATTTATCAAACAATTCAACGTTCCAGGTTTCTATACTGGCTGCTTTGCAATCGAATCATTATTTCAGTCAACATTTAAATGTCTCTTCAATCAATCATGTTTAGAGCAAATTAAAGAGTATGTTAAATCATATGCAACTACTGATATTTCGATTCTAAATTTATCGTCATCAAGTAAATATGAGATGAACACCACAATAGGAACAATTATATACCAATTATTCATCGAGAATTGGAATACACACGTATTTTATGAAGCATATTATAATAGTTGTCAACCAATGTATTGTTCTTATGATGATTTAGAGAAATTTGATGTCTTATCTATAATAACATCAATACTAAGCGTGTATGGCGGACTAACTGTTGTTCTGAAAATTCTGTTATTATATCTTGTTAAATTTATTCGAAATAGAACACAATCTGTAAACACAAACAGTTGTATGACAAATCCGATATCTTTCATTGGAACAGGTAATTTTTTTTCTTAATAAGAAGGTTTATTATCATGTATCAGGTTTATTATTAGGTTTATTATTAACATGTATTATACAAAAAGAAGTAGTTAAAGCTCCAGTACTTCTAACCACATCATAATGTTTCCCCAGAGTCTACGAAAGAAAGGAAAAGTTTCTTTGATTCAGCAAGTGAAAACCTTGTTGTATTCTGTACTTACTTTTACCCCATCACACTTCTTTCTTATTCGCCGACACATACTACCTATGACTGATATTAATCGTACCTTTTGGAGGTAGTTGCAATTTAACTAATTAGTTCTATCTACACCACATAATATTGGAATATTTCATTCATAAAACACATTTTATGAATGTCATTTTATTAAGGTCTTTTTTTTCATAAAACGTTTGGACCAGGAAGAACTTCGTATTTTATTCAAAAAATATTTTTTTATTTTAGGAAAGTCCTTTTTCTATTTGTCTATAAAATAACCAAATTTATGAAAAAACTGATCTTCATAAAAATGATTATTTATGAAATACCCACAGATAACGATCGAGCTACTCGCATGTTTGCACATAGATAATACCAAGCCTTTGTGAGCAATTATTACCGGCTCTATGTGTATTAGCCTTATCGAAACAATATGGGTGATCGACTTCTCTGATTCTCATTTTCTTTTTCAGCTTTATGATCTTTGAGGACGTCAAAGGAAGGTTGTGTTTCTTGCTTTTTCAGATCAACTAGAGAACTAAAATCGATGAAGAACTCGTTTCTTGTTAGAAAGTTCTCTGTATCCCAAAAAACTAAATGAGTTTTAGTTCTTTAAAAATAGGAAGAAAGCGTATTTTTCGCTACGAGTAGGCATCTTACTCTTGTTACACATCTCTTGATGTTGGATCATTTAGGGATGGATATTGTCAATTATCTCCAAGGTATTACACATCGTTTTAAGAAAAAACTATTATCCTTGAATACTTTCAAAAGCATTCCACAGTCAAATGATAAATATGTTATAGAAAATCAAATTATATCGACCCGAGTCTATATTGTCATAGTTCTAGCTGGCTTAATTATAACAGCTCTTTATGCATCACTCGTTACAACAGCAACTGTTACGATGGTGTCACCTGATCTATCTCTTTTTTATACATTGCTTGAAAAGTACTTCGGCACTGTATCTTGTCCGTGCTCTCAAATTACTGTTCAATATGATACATTTATCAGTCTAAATGTTCAATTTCATCAAATTTGTTCGAGTTATTTCATTTCTAAAGATTGGATTCATTCCTTCACCGATAGAATCAATTTAATCCTACTCTACAACGACGATTTTCGTGTTACAGCACCACATCAATTTCAAGCATTAGCAGACTTATGTCAGTTATTTAATACAACAATTGCTGACGAATTAAGTAGTTTTTTATCAACAGATTTAATCTCGTCTAAAGTAATGCACAGTGACGTGTTCTTGGCTGACGTCGAAGCTAATTTGTATTTATTCCAACTTACAACAACAAAAACAGTTCGACGATTGTATGACTTGATCAGAAGTACAACACAGGGAAATCAATTGTTATCGGCATTATCAACGAGTTGGGTATTAAAAATTGATGACACCTCACTCGGTTTAATGATCCGTAATTATTTGGTAGTGTCAAGTAATTCAAATTGTAGCTGCTATAGTGATTCAAGATGTGTTGAGCCATCTGCTTTATATGATTATACAGCTTCTTCAGTGGAAACGATTGAGTTCGTGGTACCAGGATTTTATAGTGGTTGCTTCATCGTTGAGTCTCTGTTACCTTCAACAATGAAGTGTTTCTACAATCGATCATGCATTGATCAAATACATTATGTCGACCCCTATATTTCAACTAGTGTCCCCATCCTTGATTCATCGTTACCTACCATTTATCCACCAGATACAACACTTGAGACTATGCTAAATGAATTATTTATTGAAAATTGGAATTCAACAATATCCTTCGAATTGTACTATAATAATTGTCATCCATATTATTGCACATACACATCTGTTCAAAACCATGGTATCCTGTATATAATAACTACCATAGTTGGAGTTTTTGGAGGACTTACAACTGTATCAAAAATGTCGATTCCAATCGCCGTCGCATTTATTCGAAAGAGAAAAATAATTACTGATAGCACTGTGACATCCTCAGGTAAAATCTGTTGAGCCCGTTTGTCTTTTTTGTGTCTCATCTTACAGCTTCAATTCTCAAAGGAAACTTGTTAACGATGTCTTTCTTTTCACTTACTTCAGCAATTGGCTTTATTGTTCGATCTAAACTTGTTTTCGAGCAATTAAAACATTATGTTATGACAATGAATATGTTTAAAACAGTCCGACATGCAACAAATCAACATTACATAAAAAATGGAATTATAGCAACTCGCATATATTTTGTTTCGATAATAGTTAGTCTATTCATCCTGACACTTTATACATCATTAACCACAATACTAACGACATTTACTGTCAAATCACCGAGTTTGAATCAATCCAGATATTTACATAATAAATATCCAGATACTTTGTCATGTCCTTGTTCAGAAATCTCAATTCCATATCGAACGCTTTTTACAATTCAACCAGAATATCATGCGATATGTTCAAGTGATTTCATTTCAGCTGACTGGATTAACTATGTTATTGGTATTAATTCAAGCTATTCATATTATGCCGATTTTCGTTTTACATCGCCAAAGCAATTTCAAGTTCTTTCTGACTTTTGTCAACTCTCAGATCGAACAATTAGTGATGCACTGAATGTATTTTATTCTACTAAGTTTATCTCAGCTAAATTACTTGACTCTGAGCTGTTTGCATATCAAACAAAAGCAATTCTAGCTTTATTTGAAGATAATACAATAAACACGTTTCGGCGATCATTTCGTCAGATTCGTAGTACTATACAAGGAAATCAGTTGATGTCGGGATTACTATCGAACGCGGCATTTTACTTGGTGTTGTTCAATAACAAACTTTTTGTTGGATCCTATCATGCAGAGTATATTGATGCTGATGGCTCGCTTTGTAACTGTGGTAATAGAGCATGTGTTTCACCATCAGCTTTTTACATGGATGATCTGTCAGTTACTAACACCGATCCTTTATTTATCGTTCCACACTTTTATACAGGGTGTTTGGTGATCGATTCATTAATGATGTCAACACTTGAATGTTTCTACAATCAATATTGCTTAAATCAAATAAAAATATACATTAATTCTACATCAGCTCAAAATTTTACAATTTTAACTTCATCTGCATCAAGTGGCTATCAACAAAATTCAACAATAGAAACAATTGTAAATCATTTGTTTATAGAAAACTGGCACTCGAATGTGTCTTATCAAATGTATTATAATTTCTGTACACCATCCTACTGCACCTACTCATATAGTGATAGACGCGATATTGCTTCAATTATTACTATAATGATTGGTGTCTATGGTGGACTCACGGCTGTATTAAAGATTATCCTCCCAACCTTAGTCAGCTTTATTAAAAAGGAACTAAATAAGTCAAACAATCAGATTACTACCGTTACTGTAGCATCCGTCTCATCACAATAAGCAACATTCTGAAAATACAAAAGTACATCTTTCGACGTCGAAACCGGATCGCGCACAAAGTCGATATAATGATGGTCTATTTGATATCGATTTACACAATTGTATCTATCTCTTGCAAGAGGTTTCGTGTTCCTCATGTAAAAGACGAAAATACTAATGATGGTGAATGGAGAAAAAGTCTCCTTCAGTTGCTCTTCTAACGAAGAAAGAGCAATGTTTTCTAGTCGTCTTTTTCCTTGCTTCCAGAAACAAAATATGAATGGTATGAAAATTCTAAAAAAAGTAGCTTCACGTGCCTTGATTGATTGATTTTCATTTCGACAACAGCAGTTTTGGACAGAAAAGAGTAAACTTTAGTATTACAATACAAAAATTTAA